GTATCTAATTCAGTAAGCTTCAAATACAAAACTCGTGAAGTAAAACTATTAGTTTAATAATAAGTCTTTAGTAGACTTACAAAGATAAAAAAATTCAATATCAGACAGCAGTAAACACAAAGTGTGGGGCATTGGGATGATCGCCTCATTAATAAGTCAAATTTGGTGCAAAGCGTATATCCTTACGTCTATGGAGGTGCAGATTTTTTTAAAGAGATCTAAACCTAACTTGAAATAATTGAGTCTTTACCACCACTATTAAAAAGGTTGAAATTTGCACATTGAAATAAACAAATAAAAAATGTATCTACATACCTGACGATAGTTACGCCTATCGAGAGCCATACGTTGATTCCAAAAGCAGCGGAAAAATGGGGGTAGAATTTCAGATTTAATATAATCAGGTTCAACACCCTCAGTGGCGCAACATTGTTTGACAACTTTAAGAACAATTTTTTTCATTTCCTCATCAGGAGACTGAAATTCTCGAATTAAGATAAGCATAACTTCCCGAGTGTAATAATTAGCATATTCGGCATCCATGAGTGGGATCAAATAGCCAATAGCCTTCAGAAATGCGGCCAAACCCTATAAAAAATTAGCAATGTAAAATATAGGAAAAAGTAAAGTAAATTAACTACTGAGCAGTATATAATAAAATCGTAATACGGCCAATCGTAGATTATGGGAATACGTAAGCTGAACAAGTTGATAAAAAAATTATTTAAATGAGCTAGTAGCTATATCGAAATATCAAGTTTTTAAAATTCGTTTGTAACTAGAATATTTAGGAGTCAAAACAATAGCAACAAACGTTTAGCCTTCTAAAAACCATTGAAAAACATGCATAATATACCTCGAAGCTTTGTCATTAAGTAGAAGCCGTGTAATTAAATATGTTGTTGCCAAAACAAAATATATAATTAAAATACGAAAGAACTCTACTCCTCAAACGAGGACCCTATGAATCCGAAGTACATCCTCCCATAGATTCACTAAATAAATGACCCTGCAAAAAATAACTATACAAAGTGAAAAAAATTGATCTAAAACGAAAAATATGATGAGTTGGAGTTAATGTGTCACTGTGCAAATGATGCAATGACAAAAAACAATGTGAACTAATTAGGTTCAACAATGCTTTAGTTGCAATAAAATCTTAACCGTAGGTGGAACAAATTTGAATAGAAACAGGCAAAACATGATAACATCGGATAAATCAAAGATGAAAAGGTAGGAAAAAATTGTGACCAATCCCATCTAAGACGAACAGATCCAGTATAATGGTAAATAATCATAACTGTCGAATAACATGATGAATATGAGTATGCTTGATAACTAGGCAATGTGCATAAGCTTACTTTTCCTCGATGAGTGCGAATACCCTTCCAAAGTGGCTTGAGCACAGAATCGAAGGATTCAATACCATAAGGAGTCGCAGCTTCAGCTAAAGCAGCTAGGGCTAAGGCAGTAATGGTTCGAACTTTTTGTTGTTCATCAACAAGGCCATGCTCGATAATTTCTACAAGGCTTCGCAAGTGAGGAAGAATGGCACATCCCATCAATATGGAAATCTGCTGAACGATTTTGATTCCGGTATGACGTGCCTGCCAGGATTTCTTTGATTTGCAGACGGCCTGAAAAAAAGGTGAAGTAAACGGGTGGAATCAGGCTTAAAATAAAAGCAGACAAGTTGATGTGGCCTAATATTTTACCTTCAGGAAGGGCAAAAGACTTGGAATTCCCAATGCTGAGGCAACTACAGCAAACGCTCTGGCAGTGGTATTACGCACGTACTCATCCATGTTATCGATATCAGGGCGCATTGTTGAAATCATTGTGGCCAAACCCGCAGCCTAAAAAAATGCGAAAAAATTATAGGCAACATAAGAACAATGCGAAGAAAAGTTGGGTTTCGAGGAATCCCTTGTTTCATAATTGCTGAGCTTACTTCCATTTTGAGTGAGTGTTGAGTAAAGAGATTTGAAGGTCGGTTTTACCAGAAAACGATGGCGGATTCCTCTTGACTCGTTAGCTTAAATTTTGTTGTGACGATGATACGTTGCTCTAAAGATGTTCGTCATATGACGGACGAAAGATTAGCACCTTTTTACCGGAGTCGAAGGAGATTACCTCGGAAACAACGACAGCATGAATCTTCCAGTAAAGTCAATCGAAGAATCCGCCGTCGTCTTCTGGTGGAACCAAACTTCGAATCTCTTCACCCAACACTTTGACTCGAAATGGAAGTAAGCTCAAGAATAAGAATAATGTACTTGAATAGCATAAAGAAGGCTTGATTTTAGGCTCCGGAAAAACGTAAAAATAGTTTGCATTTTAGCAAAAAATAGCGTTGGCGATCGACGTTGACAAACTATTCAAAATAATGAGCAACTATATAAGCAAGCGACATCAAACTTACTTTAGCCAAGTTGGAAATAATTTCACGACCCTCGACACGAGCATAGTAATCTTCATCGATGAGCAGTGGCTCGATAACGACAAGGATTTTATGTACATAGGGACGAACCAAATCGTCAAGTTTATATAGGATTCGATCGATAACCTAGATAAAGTAAAAGAATCAAATGTACAGGGGTGTAAATTAATAAAGATAAATGAAAAGATAGACAAACCTTGACGAGAAGATGGCGCTCCTGGTCCTCAAGTGTGGGCGACATTAGAAGAGGTAAGATCTGTTTGAATAGTGGGCCTGCGCCAAATTCTCTAGCCTTGTCAGTAATCTGTCGCAGAGCAGACTTTCGCATGGGGGGAGTACCATTTTTTATTTTCAAAAGCAGGGTCATTATTTTGCGTTCCCTTGATTCTTCTGGGGACAGACTTTCTTCATCTACATCCTGACAGTAAAAAAAA